GGGGGGGGGAAGAACAGATGACCAACGAGGGATGCGATGCCATGCGATGAGATGCATGTGGTCTGTGTGCCTGCCTGCCTGCCTGCCTGCCTCTCTGGCTGACTCGACTCACTTGATCTCGTTGTAAGTGTGGAGGTCGTATGCGTTGTGGTCGGCCTCCACAACGGCAATCTTATGCGGCTGCATCTCCATCGACATCTGGCCAACCTGCATGCCCTCACCTGCACACACCACACACACACAAACAGGACCTCCGATGGCCTGGCCCCACCCACACGCACACACAGACACAGACACAGAGAGGAGCGCACCTGTGAGGTCGACGTAGGGCTGTGTGGGTGGTGGGAGGGCGACGAGGCGGCGGGGCGTGTAATTGAGGGGAATCGACACCTGGTCGAACGTCTGCACCCACACACACACACAGCACAACCAGATAGCTATGGCGCGTGGGTGGGTGGGATGGCGGCTGCTGGTGAGGTGATGGCACACCTCTCCCAGCCTCTCGATCTGGAATATCCTCAGCGTGTTCTCGGCGATGGCCACCAAACCATCAGGCACCTAACACACACACACACACGCACACGAGAGACACCTGTGTATGCCTGTGTCGGTCGACCCACCCACTCAAGAGCCAGTTGACCTGTTCCGAGCAGAAGGGTGCGGCGGCATCGAGCGTGTCGCACGAGAGTGGCACCATGACGGCCTTGCCCAGGTACTGGTGGCACAGCCATGGGCGCGTCGACAAGGCCTGATGGATGGACAGCCACAAAGAGGGAGAGAGAGAGAACAGCGGAGCATCCATCCATCCATCCACCGTGTTGGCGCATCTGTCTGTCACACACACAAGCTGACTGACTGACTGACCAACAAGCCCGGTCCTCTCTGCACAGTCGTTTGGTGCAGCCGCACGGCACGTTCCCCCAGAAACCTTCACAAATCAAATCAACACACAGAGAGAGAGACAGGGACCAAGGACATGACATACACACCACACACTGTCTGTCTGTCTCTGTGTGGGCGAGAGGTGGGTGGCTGGGGTACCTACCTGATTCTCTGGTCGCTGAGCGTGCCCACTCTGGCGTCGACAACTGCCCGCACCGTCACCCCAGTGTTGCACCCGATGTGCAGATACAACACGTCAGCCGTGCTCGCATCCTGCACACATACGCTCATCCCGTCACCCATTACATTACCACCACAACGCTATGCTCACCTCACAGACAGACACACGGAAAGGCCAATGTGTGTGTGTGTGTACCTGTGATTGGAAGTGCAGGAAGGCGACTGATTCCGGTATGGATGGGGCGCCGAGTGCCTGTGCGGAGATCTGCTTGAGGAACCGGTCCTCCTCCAGCGAGAAGATGCGCACTGTGCGGTCGTCAAGACCGACAGCCTGCAACCACACCACACTCACACTCACACACAATGCACCCCTCCCTCCCTCCGTCCCTCCCTCCCTCTTTACCATGAAGGACGCCTTGACGCGTCCCTCCGGCACCGGGGCAATAGCGATGCAGGTGATCTTCTGCCCCACCTCCACCGAGCGCTTCTCCTGCATGGCCCCCTGGCCCCCAGTGCCCGTCAGCTCCAGCACCTGGATCTTGTTGTTGGCCGTCGCCACGACACACTGGCTCTCGTTGGAGGCCCCCATCGTGAAGGACGACGTGGCGGGGGCGGCGAACTCCTGCCGAATGAGACCTCGGATGTAGACGACGCGCTGTGGGGTGATCTGCACACACACACATGAATAAGGGAGAGGGGAGGGACATGTGTGTGTGGGGGAGGGGGGGGGGAGGGGTAGCCACGTACCTGGATCTGTGTGTTGCCCTTCATGAGACCGATATGCAGCGTTTGGCTCTTGTAGTCGAGGAGGGTGTTTGTGTCTTCCTCGATGGTGTCGCTGATGCGCAGCACCAACGTCTCGTTGGAAAACGACACCACAATGAACCGATCCGTCTCATCCTCCTGGAAATGACCGAATGACCGACAGACAAGCGACAGTGGAACGGCTGTGTGCAGGGGCCGGCCTTTGTCTGTCCGTCTGTCCGTCCGTCTGTCTGTCTGTGGTACCCACCATGTTTTCCTTGAGTGTCCAGACGTTGTGCGGTTTGCCGGGCAGCTCGTTGTACGCCATCTGCTCTATCGTTAGGCCGTACCGCAGCCGCCGCAAAGTCGACCGCGGGCCCCGCCCACACAGCACATAGAGCTGGGGCGTGCCCTCGCCTATCGCGTCAACCACCTTATCACACACACACGCGCGCACACACACCTGAGAGTGTGTCGCGTCGCTCAGTGGCTAACGGACGGACCTTCATGTCGATGATCGGTGCGAGCGACTGCATCTCGTCGTAGAGGAGGAGATTGACGAACGCCCGCGGCTTGAAGACCACGACGGCCTCGTGCTGGTCGGGGTGGGAGGAGGTCGCCAGGGGGTCGTTGGGGTCCATGCCGATACCCACAAACTGATACAACGCACTGAATGAAGCACACACACACACATACGGCGTGTGTGCGTGTCGGTGGTGTGAGGTCCTGTCCCTACTGGTTGCCGAATTCGCTGGCCACGAAGAGGAAGCCCGTTTTGAGGACACAGAGTGCGTTGGCGACAGGGATGGAGTCGAAGTACTTGATCTGCATCTCACTCACGACGTCCTCGTCGTGGCTCAACGTCACCTGACACACACACAAAGGGAGAGAGAGATAAATGCGTGTGTGTGCGTATGTGTGTGTGTGTGTGTGTGTGTGTGCCTTGTAGAGGTCTCCGAATTCGGACTGGATGAAGAAGAAGAACTGGTCCTTGATCTTGTGGGTCGCGTGGCACACCACCATGATGCCTTACAGACACGACAGATAGCACACACAACACAAAGGCTCTAAAGCACATCCTACGTCTGCTGGCTGACCCCCCCCGCCCCACACACGCACCTTGAGCTGACTGCGCCGCCTCCAGTCGCCTGGGAATGGCACACTTGATGTCCTCGTGGTCTGATCGATTCGATCATCCACAGTGGACAGCGGATGGATAACAGCTACGTATGTTGCTCCCCCTCCCTGCCCCTGCCTCCGTCCCCCATTCGCTCACTCGGTTTCTTGTAGACGAGGTAGTTCTCGCAGCACACGAGCACGCCGCTGGGGCCATCATGGCCCCCAGGCACTGCACATGGACGGACAATCGCAGTCGCAGTGCATTTGGCGTGTGTTTGTGTGTGTGTCTATCTGGCTGACCCACCGACCCCCCCACTGACTCACCTGCGATGAGATGGTGTGCGGTGTAGTCGACGGGGTCAGCGTGTTTGCGCGTCACGTGATTGAGACCCAAATCCATCTCGTATGTCGTCAACGTCTTCTTGTACTCTGCACACACCAAACACCCACACACACATCTTTTCGTGTCCAGCCACCACACCATCCGCTTTTTTGACTCACTCGCGTCGACGCGCCTGTCGGAGTCGTCATAGGCGACCTCGAGTGCGGCGAACTGTGGGTTCTCGAAGCCGACGTCCACCCCACAGAGGCCGTGGCAGATGGTGTTGTTCTTGTGCGCCTCCAGAGGCGACGAGATCGTCAGACGCGCTGACTGGTCACGGTTGACCACATAGACGAACTTCTGCTTCTCGATCGCAGCAAGAGCGATGGCGCGGCCCTTTGGGTCGATGCCGAGGTACTGACCTGACGCACACGCACAGAGACAGAGAGAGAGAGGGAAAGGTGCATTGATTTGGTATGGTGGGTGGGTCGGTGGACGGATGGATGGCAGGGAGGCACCGCCCGCACCTGGTACGATTCTCCTGATGCCTGATTTGCCGTAGGTCTCCTGGTGCACCTTCTCGAAGCAGTTCTTCTGGGTATTGAACTCGAGGATGACAATGCGGCCGCTGTCACTCCCCACCACGATGTAGTCACGACTCGCACCCACGATGCGGAACGTTGACAGACACCGAATCAGACCTGACACACACACACACACACACAACGATGCGATGCTGACCTGACCTCGCTCTCTCCCCTCCCTGCCTGTGTCATCCACTGCCTCACTCACCGAACACTTCAGTCGAGAAGACGACCTGCACCTTGCCAGCGTCATCCGGCCTCAGTAGTTCCAGCACCTTGCCGCGTGACACCACGATCTCCTGTGCCTTGGGCGCCGAGAAGTTGCCGAAGATGGCATGCGTCACGGCCGTCGCCCGCTGGATCGTCAGCGAGTACAGGAACGGCATGGCGGACGGCAGGGAGGGCAGGGAGGGCCTGTAGATGAGTCAGGGGAGGAGATATCTGTGGCGGCCTGCCAGACGAAAGATCAATGGTCCTGGTTGACACAGGGAAGGCAGATCCCGGGAGGTGCCGACCTAGCAAGCTCACCACACGCTCACAGGGCTTCTCATCTGCCCTGCTTGCGAGGGGAAGCCCTTTGGCGAGCTTTTGTCTCCGTTTCACATTATTTCCTAAGGCACAGCCGTTGCGTACGACGTGAGAAAGGTGTTCTGACATGCAGGCTGCGTGGGACCGCGCCCATCGCACCAATGCTGCCCGCCGAGGTTCTCGCCCACCGATATCTTGTCGCCTGACAGATTGACGCAGAGGGCCGCGGCCCACCTGTCAGATCTTCAGCTTCCCTCACGAGAACCGAACCGCCTCTCTGCGTGCCAAGGGTCCACTCAGAGGCTGAGTAATGGCAACATCGCCATCGGCTGGGGTGCTCAGTGTCATCCTGGTCGCCAGCTGCCTGGCGACTTGTTTCGGCCAGATCGGGACTCCCGAGGTCGTGAACCGCCCGCCAGCTCACCTCGAAGACCTCAGGGATGCTTCACGTCCACAACTGGAGGAGCTATTTGCCAGTGGAGCTGCGGGCGGCTCAATCCGTAAGAAGTGATGGATTTGATGCAGGGAACGCTCCGCTTTCATTGTCGACAGAGACTGACTCGCTGGCTTTCCTGTGCAGGCATCCCGTCGACAGAGCAACCAGGGGAGCTGCTCAAGGGAGCCGGCCTGCCCACGCTGGTCGTCTGCGGACCGGCCTGCCCAATCCCCACCCAGGTCGCTCGAATCGTGTGGGGCGGCAAGGTCTTCTACTCGGACCCTGAGACGAAGCGGACGACGCTCGAGAGCATCCTGTTGTTGGTCGGTACGGCGATCCAGGCAGAAGTGTACAACACCAACGAGACGGTGACAGCCCTCAGAGGCGATGGGAAGCCCTCTGTGGTGCTGGACTACTCGATCAGCGGCCTCCCTGTCATCAGCAAGGTCATTGACGAGATCAGGATGATCAACCCCATCACGCAGCTGTGGCTCGGTCAGAATCAGACAGCAGAAACTCAGACACCAATGCGACCAACGTGCTCGGCTGGATCTGTGTCTGCAGGGGAGAGCTACTTGGTGCTGGGCGCGACGAAGATCCTACTGGCCTACTTTGCCTTGGAGTTCCCCACGCTCGTCGAGGAGAAGTTCGACCACATTGTCATCGGCGGGGGCGCGTCAGGGACGGGCCTGGCCTTCTCGCTGGCCGAGAACGGCCACAAGGTGTGCCTTTACGAGCGCGGCGACCTGAGGAGCAAGCCGAAGAACTTTGAGGGCCAAACAATCGAGGGTTTCGGGTTGGGGCTGTACAACCCACATATGTCCCAGGTAGGTCGGTTGATATATCGAGGGAGGCACGGGTGAGGGTGAGTGAGACCTGGATGGTCGTTGCCTCACGTGCTGGACATGTCTGCTGGACATGACGCCAGGTCGTCAAGACGAAGGAGAAGATTCGCACACATGTTGCCAATGTCCTCTCGGGCGGGACCGCTCTCAGGTCGTCACACTCATGACGCGTGAGCACATTTGCGCACCTGCAAGTGTGTGTGTGTGGGTGTGTGTGGGTGTGGTCGATTCGCCGTCAGTGCCGGCATCCAAATCGAAGAAAGGGATGAGTATTTCCGCTTTCTAGAGAGGGAGTACGGGGTCCATTTCGACGAGGAGCTCATCAACAAGGTCAGCGACGCGCCAAGACATCTCTGTCACTCTCTATATGTGTGTGTGTGTCGCTACCAGGCCTTCAACTGGGTCAAGGAGCGCACCAACGACCCAATGGGCCAGGACGCGATGTACAGCGACGCCTTCAGACAAGCCCTCACCATGGTCGGCTTCGCACCCGACCTGGGCACGCAGCGGAAGGCTGAGATGGGCAGCATCAACCCGTTCTCCCTATTCAAATACGACGGAGACAAGCTGTCGCCAGACAGGGAGCGCCGCGCGAGTGACGTGCTGCTGAAGGGCGACCTCAGTGCCAATGGCGGGGCGCTGACAGTGAGGTACCGGCAAACCGTGCTCAAGATCGAGTTCGAGGAGACTGCCGATGGCGTCCCCAAGGCGGCCTGCGTCGTCTTCGGCGACTCGCCTGACGAGCTCATGCCGGTGGACTCCATCGCCAACGAGCGAGGCACGGAGAGGGAGCCGCGAGATACAGAGAGGGTGATGAACTCGTTCAAGAAGCTGTGTGTGAACCCTGGCGGCGAGATCTGGCTATCGGCAGGGAGCATCTACACTCCGGTGCTGCTGATGAAGTCGGGCGTTGGGCCGAAGGCCGTTGTGGACAAGGTCGTGGCCAAGAATGGAGGGAAGGCGGTCAAGTACATCGAGGAGCTCGGCAAGAACATCCACGATCGAAACTTTGTCCCGTTAGTCGTCTTCTTTGACAAGGACTTGCCTGAGCCTGGGCTGCCCGCCACATACGCGTCGTATTCCGGCCTCCAAAGGGTGGGGGACAACTGCCAAGCCGACCAAGGCGAAATGCTCGAGTGAGCGAGAGAGGGGTCGATGCGACGCATTGTGGCTCTGTCTGTCTGTCTGTGTGTGTGTGCAGCCTGAGTGCTGTGAGCAAGGATTCCTGCACCTACATCAACCAGGAAGAGGTGAGACACATCCATTTGTGTGCATGCCATCCATCCATCCATCCATGTCTTCCCACTGTGTCCAAAGGTCAAAGGCGCCGACAGCCTGTGGGGCTTATTGTGGTCAACCAGGCTGTTCTTCCCCCCAGAATTCAGGAGCCTCCCGTACGGCCACACACACACACACACACACACACACAGAGGAGAGAGCCCTTCCCGACACATAACATTCTCGCTGTGTTTCTGCTATACAGGGAGGTGGATTTCCTGGTCGAGGTCATGATTTCGTGCAACAATGATTCCAGCCTCCTGTGCGCACCATTATCCCCTCTAATCGAGTGCATCAAGTGGGCACCCATGCCGACCACACACACACACACACACACGCACCCTCAGAGCGATCGATCAAGCCAGTATGTGTGTGGTGGCGCAGGAAGGGAGCGGGCTTCTTCGCTTTCGTGCCAGTCGTCCAATCTCGCGGTGAAGTCACTGTCAACGAAGACGGTGCGCATCTCCTTCCATCCCACAGGCAGACAGAGTGTGACCCCGTCCCTCTCTGTACTGTCTGTCTGCCTGCAGGCGGCCCGATAGTGTCAGGCGGCTACTACACCGACCACGGTGGCCACGACCTCTACACGGCCGTCGAAGCACTGAAGCGCTCCCTGCGCATCGTCGGCAGCGGCATGTTCGACGACATGATGCAAAAGAGATCGCCCTTGTCGTGCCCAGCACAGGTGCTCAACGGCCTGCTGGACCTCTTTCTCATCGCGGCCAGGCGGCTGCCGCTTCCCTCCACCTATGCCTTAACGCCACAGAGCCCACAGGAGCCCTTCTATCAGTTCGTCCAATCCACACGCGACAAGGTGCTCAACAGCAGCAGCAGCAGCAGCAGTACGAGCAGCAGCGCAGCCGAAGCTGAGTGGCAGGGAGAGGGGTCGCCTGTGTTCCAGTGGCTACGGGAGAAGGCCCAGCTGGCGAGCGAGCTGCCGCCACTTCCGGCTCGTGTGCGTGATCTGGCGTGTCAGCATCATATTCCGTTGGCCGGCCCATGGTGCAATGGCGACGCACAGCCGAAGGACAAGGCGCAGATGGAGCACGCCAAGCAGTTTGCCATCTTTCCTCCGCTGCCAGTCGGTACGTATGGGGCACTGAGTGCACTGGCGGAATGTGAGTGCTGTGCAGCACTCTTGGTGTGGGTCTCTGTGCCTGTCTGTCTGTCCGCCTGTGTGCGTGCAGACTTGTTTGACGACAAGGCCTTGGCGACGTTCGCGAAGGCCCATGGGACCTCCATATGGCACTGGACAGGGTCAGTGAGTGAGTCGGCCACTCAGAGCAGACAAGCCACACGCACACAGACACACACACAGAGGCGTGAATGTGTCTATGGAGGATGGATGGATGGATGGATGGTTGGATGCAGGTCAGCGCCAATGGGCACGGTGGTCGACAGCCAATTCAGGGTCAAGGGCATCGACGGCCTCAATATATGTGATGCATCCGTATTCCCACAGGTACGTACGTACGTACGCCTGTGTGCGGCTCTGGCCGTACGTACCTGACCTGCACATGGGGCTCTCGGATGGTGTGTGTGTGTGTGTGTGTCAGATGTCTCGGATGAATGTGCAGGCGGACTACATGATGGCGGGCCGATACGCCGCCATGATGAGGCAGCAGGAGGGCGGGGATGCCGAACACCCCGACTGACCGACTGACTGTCTGGCAAAATCGCTGCTCGAACGGCCAGCTTGTCTGTCTGTCTGTCTGTGCTGGCCGGTGGGAGACCGGCTGGCTATCACTCGATCGATGGTCGTGGGGAGAAGACCATATAGTCATTGAATTAGCAGTGACCGAGGCGAAGGAGACACGGCAACGCGAGAGTGTGCGCTCGTCTGTCTGTCTGTCTGTCTGTGTGTCGTTTTGGTCTTCAGGCAGACCTGACCACCGACCAACCAGGTGTGTGCGTATTCTTGGGTGTGTGTGTGTGTGTATAACGCTCGTAGTGATGATGATGATAATGATGATGTAATTCCTCTGGCGATCTCTCTATCTCTCTCTCTAAGATGTGTCGACGTCGTGCGTGCCGTGCCCTAGCACATGATGTGTCTCTGTCCTGCATGTCTTTTATCGGTGTCTGTGCGCTATTGCTGCCATCGTACCATCCATCTACGACGTGGCTGTCTGCTACTGATATGTTGAGCATATTTTTGTCGCTGAGCAAAGAACAGCTAGCTACACAGCTACTGCATGATGGTAGGTCGGAAGGCACTCTAGTCATGCGTGTTTGGGTGTTGTGTCTGCTCTGCTGCCTGCCTGCCTGCCTGCCTGCCTGCCGATGGAGGTGTGTGTGTGCGTGTATGGCCGCGTTAGGAGGATTTCTGTCTGCCATCCATCCAGGTGGATTTCTCATCTCATTTTTTGTCAGATTTATTTGATGACGATGAGACATCTCGGCCGTACTCAGTAGGCAGGCGTTGCTGTGCCTTGTGCTAACAGCTAGGGGTGTGTGTGTGTGTGTGTGTGCCACCTCAAGCACTGCGTCCATCGTGTACAGCTAGGTTACAGTGTGTTTCCGAAAGGCATGCTCTGCTCGATTTGCCTACAGACACACCCATCCATCGTCCATCCATGCGTTTGCTGAACCGTGATAGTGACCAGTCGTTTCGGCCTCCGTCTCATCCTGCACATATAGACACAGCAAGCACGATAAACAGGCCTGGTTTCCCTCTAAAAAACCTCAGCACGCCTTGTCCGTCCGTCCGTCCGTCGCATTCTCCCTCCCTCCCACCCTCCCTCCACCCATCCCAAACACCACCACTGTCTCCTTCGTCACATGTGCATCTATCTGCAGAGTGCGTGTGCGACCCATCTCAGCCATGGATGCCATGAAATGCTAAGCAGACGGTCGGTCACTCATGAGGTTGTCTTGATGTGGTCCACGTTGCTGGCGTGGATCGAGACCCCTCTGCACGCCGGGCACTTGAGGGGCTCCGCTGGGGTCTGCTGTCGCTGCATGTCGGCCCAGCACGGGTCACAGATGCACCTCTGCAGGCACGGGAAGAAGACGACTGTCGGCAGCCGCTCCAAGCAGATGACGCAGGTGCCCTGGCGCTGCTCTGCCTCGCCCAGCAGCTGGCTCAGTCGCTGCTGGGTGGCGCGGATCTCGAGCTTGAAGGCCTCGATGCCGCTGGCGTTGCCCTGCAGCGCCAACAAACGGTCCACATTTGGCCCTCGGTGTGGGCCTTGCTGTCTGAGTTGGTCGAGCTCCACGCGCATGGCTATGAAGGCCTGGGCTGCGTCAGCGAGGGGCGGGTTCAGCTGCGATATGTGTTGCTCCATCCTACACACACACACACACACACACGCGCACGCACACACTACCATAGGCGCCAAATCGTGTGGTTGTTCGGCATTGCTGACTCTTTTATCTCGTTCAAGAGTTTGCTGGCGGCCGCCTGGAGCTGCTGGTCCTGATCGGGGAACGACGAGCCGGCAATCGAGGGAGAGGATGAAGGAGGGCATCTGACAGACAGACAGACCGACGCACACGACGGGTGCGGCAGAGAGGTGGTTTGGCTCGCTTGTCTAGCTTTGCTCATCCCCTGGCTGTGTCTACAGCAGCATCATAAAGCTTGTCGAGGCGCTCGCTCTCCTGCTTGATGCGCATCATGAAGTCTTGCACCTCTGCCGATGTCTTCATCTCCAGCAGTGCGGTACGCGTCAGCCTGATATGTAAGAAGCGACAGAGACAGGACGACAGAAAAGAATGGCTGCCTATGGGTCTATCGTATGCGCCTGTGTCACCTGGTCTTGGCGCTGACAGTCGAGCACAGGGTCTGGTAGTCCCTGAAGGAACGAGCAGACAAGGAAGGTGCGCATGGATCACCGGGCATGCACCTGTGTTCCGTACTGTAGGATGCTCTGCAGAGCCTCTCGCGCGACGGACATAACGTCGTCGTCCATTACGTCCAGCAGCCCACAGAACGGGTTCACACACCCACACTGCACTACATGCTGCACCTGCACACACGACACATCCATCGCTTTCATAGGCATCTGTGCCATCCATTTCCCTCCCGCTCATTCCGCGTTCCATCCCTCTGTCTGGTTCACTACCTGGTCGGGTGTGCCTCCCGCAAGGAAGTTAGCTATGGCCCGGGCGGCATGCTCTTTGATCCTCATCTCATCATCGCTGGCCAGCACGGCGACCATTGGGGGGATCAGGCCGGCGTCGATCAGCCCTTGCATCTGGGGGACCGTACCTAACGAGAGAGAAGAATAGCACGACAGTGAATGAATGAGTGGAGGGAAGGGTTCTGTGCACACGATTTACCTGCAGCGATATTGGACACGGTGAAGCACGCCTCCTTGAGGATGCCCTTCTTGGGCGACAAGACCAGAGGAAGGCTCGCCAGCACACCGCACCCAAGCATGGCATCCGTTCGACGATCATCCCCTGAAAAAATCACGCACATATAGTCCGTCGTCGTGCCACCCTATTCCTCCTCCCCCTCACCCCCTGCTATGTTGCCGATTGCCTCGAGGGCCTTGGTGACCACATCATCGCTATCGTGCTGCAACAAATCCACCAGCCGGCTGCACAGCCCGTCCGCGTGGATGAGGGCCTCCACGCTCTCATGGCCTCCCTCGCTGAGGCACGACAGCGCATAGCACGCGCTAGTCAACACCCTTTCGCTGTCGTGGTCCTTGATGAGGTTGGCGAGGGTGGGAAGAGCGGCCGACACCTTGTCGAACTCCGGGAGAGGCCTAGTGCCGCACAGGTGCTCCAACAGGAAGGTGCCGTTGTCGAGGATGAACATCTTCTCCTGGCTCTCATCAAGCAGCTGCAGCAGCGGCAGCAGACCCCCCGCCTCGAGAACCATATCGCGAAAGGCGGCAGACTCTCCTGCATGTTGCCCAGCGCCCACGTGGCCTGGTCGGCGACTTGGTCGTCGGGCGACGAAACTAAATGGACGAGGGCGGGGACGGCTCCTGCATCCACAACGGCCGCGGTCTGCTCGGACGTGCCGCTTGCTATGTTAGTCAGGCTCCATACCGCCTCGTGCTGTATGCGCGGCCGCGTATGCTCCTTCAGCAGCTCGACTAATGGGGGCACCATTCCGGCGTCGACGACGGCCTGGGTGACGGACGGCAGCTCGATGGACAGCAGCTCCCGGATCTGACGTGCTGCATTGGAACGCTTGGTCACATCGGCGCTCTTTAAAATCTTTCCCAGGTGGCACAGGCATCGGACCGAGCGGCGCACCGGCCTCGCGGGACGGTCGATGGAGTCGTGGTGTATGGATCCGTCCATGGAGCGGGGAGGACCAGCCTACCAGGCCCCACGGCGGGCCCCACACTGCCAGCTCGCGGGCCCCTCCCTTCTCCCCGCCCCCTGGGGCTAGCGCCCTTCCCCTCAACGGCTTCCTCACCGCCCTTCCTCATGCTTGGGGTCATAGCCGCGCTGGCGGCTGCCATCGGCACTGCAGGTGTGTGCTGGGAGCGAAATCCATGGCGAATACGTGTCTGCTGGACGGTGATGGCATCCTTGGTTGCAGGCAATCCCGTCGTCGCCAAGTACAACACCGTATACGGTAAGTGTCCACGGCGGTCTGTTCACTTACGTGTGAATTCTTTGCCAATTTGTTGGCTCCATTTGCAGAGTCCCCCTCCAGCGGTCCTTGTATCTGCGACGGCGACTGCCCACCCAGTGGCTATCACTTCACCTACTCAAGCGACATCTTTCTCAACCAATCCATCCCCCTCAATGACCTCGCTGCGCGGCGACAGGAGTGCGCCAGGCTGTGCCTGGCACACCCGATCTGCTCCATGTACGAGGTTGCCCTGGGGCTGGAGAGGCGCTGCGAGGTGCACTACGGCCCGAAAAGCCTGCCGCGGGCCGCCAACAGCAGCTCGGGGGAAGCGGAGTGCATCCTGCGGAAAGACAGTCAGATGGATGGAGGTCAGCGAAATGACAAAACCCTATTCTGGAGTCCCCATTGTTTGTTTTGTGTGCACACTGACAGGCCCCAGCAAGCCCGGTGCGTGCCGCTGCAGCACTTGCGGCGAGGGGCAGCAATCAGGTGCGTACAAGCTTATGCCCATCAGCCCTCCGAGCGACATTGCGGACCTCAGCAATCTATACCGCCGGCGTGACTGCTCCATCCACTGCTTCCACGACCGGCAGTGCACGGGCATTGAGATCACTCTGCACCCCGCCGAACCAGGATGCAAAATCTTCTACTCGCTTATGGATTCTTATGACGAGGCCGCAACGGACAGGGAGTGCTTTCCCAAGACTGGTCTTCCCGTACCGACCATTGTCAATTCTCCCGAGCTGTATCAGGACGTACCCGTTGTGGCGACAATCGACTTTGGCGAGTCTGTGGTGCCTGGCCCGGCGGTCGATGGGCGAGAGCTCGACTTCACCGATATGTGGGCTCAGAACGGGACGGTCCTTGATGTCAGGCTGGTGGATGGAAGCGATTCGGCATACAATGTCAGCATTGTGCCTCCAAATGCGTCACTGAGCCTCGATAACAAGACATATATCACGCTGACGGTTCCGGAAGGTGTGATGCAAGACGTGCTGGGGCAGCCCAACCCTGTCATGAACTTCACTCTTCCATTCTACGGTGAGCAGCAGATATTCACTCCTCACCTCTTCGTGTCGACGTCCTTTGTCGTTTGTGTGCGTGTGCAGTACATCCCATCCTTGTCAATCTGACATCCTCCAAGCGGAGCTGGCACTCCCCGCCAGTCGAGGTGGAGATCACTTTCGACACCCCGGTAGTCTTCAACAGGGATCGACCCAAAGACGATATCTATATGCGGATGGTGCCGTACAATCGATCCCTCGCCAACACTGGAGTGACGCTCGAATCGTGGAGACAGACGAAGGTCTTTACTGACCCCGAGACAGGACCTGTGAGGAGGGTCACGATGGAGGTGATGCCGACAGCCAGTGCCCGTATTGCATTGGCCGTGCCCTACTACGCCGTCACTGATGCATCCGTACCCTATCGAGGCAACTACGTCGCCTCAATGACCCTTGATTACGGTAGGTGGGCACAAGCCACGCAATTATAGTCAACAAAACGTCGCCCGCGTCCGTTCAGGTCTGCCTGGTCCGTCTCTGGTCGACCCTTTTGAGCATTATCATGACGTGCCCATCGTGATAGAGATTGACTTTGGCGAGACAGTCAGGCCCGGGCCAGGGGCGACGGGCGGGGGTGGAGAGGTCACACCGAAAGACGTCAACATCACCAACGGCACGGTGACTGAGATCCGCCCGACCGGCCCGGCCACATATGAGGTGACAATCGTGCCGGACGAGCCCACTGGCGACGACAACACGACGACGGTGACCGTGACCCTGCCGTCTGGCATTGTGGAGGACGAGAGGGCCACACCAAACCCGGAAAGAGAATTCATCATCACATACGGTGAGCTAACCACTCAGCCATACATTTCAGAATAGGTGGCGGGCCGTGTCTGTGTGTCTTCAGTGCGGCCCCTGGGCGTCGTATTGTCGAGCTCCCAGACGCTATGGCGGTCGCTGCCCATCCAGCTGACGCTTACCTTCGACAAGCGAGTGACCGACTTCAGTGTCAGCGATCTCGTCTTCACTGTGGTGCCTCACGACAGCTCCCTCACCGGGTCTGTGGTGACATCCAACCTTAGGACAGAGCCGTCGAGTGGTGGCGCCATCAGCAAGGCCATGCTGGACCTCTCCCCGACTGTAGAGGGCAACATCTCTGTCAGCCTTCCCGCCCTCAGTGTCTTTGATAGCGCTGTGCCCTATCGAGGCAATGAAGCGGCCCACCTGCACCTCGAATACAGTGAGAATCGGTCGATGAAGAACGAGCGCACACAGCCCAGTCAGTGTATCTCCTTCGTGTCTCGCTTGTGTGCGCGCGCTGTGTGCAGAGAGTGACGCGCCGACAGCAGTGGTGTACATGGCCAGCGGCAGCAATCTCACCACAGCATCGCCATTCACTGTGGAAATAAGCTTCAGCAAAAGGGTGACCGTCACCAGCCTGGCCGCACTGGAGGTTGCCAATGGGGAGATTGTGAGCGCCGGGCTGAGAAGTGTTACTGACAATTCGTATGAGTTTGACGTGGCGCCGCTCCAGGAGACCATCACGATAGTTGCGAAGGAGGGGCTGGCGGTGGATGTGTACAATCAGCCAAACGAGGCCTCCCTCCCGCTCGTCGTCACATTCGGTCAAGCACACTCTCAGTGAAACCCAGTGATCTTTGTACTTGTGGGAATGTGTGCACTGCAGACTACCTTAAGGCGCCGCAAGCTATCGAGTGGATCACCAGGCCGACCCTGTCTGCGTCCAGCCCCTTCAACACGGCCACATTCGACATTTATATCACCTTCAGCAACCCCATCACGGCCACAGACTTCTCTGACCACTTTCTCATCGACAGCATGCCCACGACGGCGACCAGGCTTGACCGCAACAGCCCCACGTCATACACGGCTGCGCTGCGGGTGCCCGTTGACAAGACTGACGGTGGCACAGTGCAGGCGCAGCTGGATGCTGGGGCAGTCCAAGACACAGACGGGCTTACAAATCTCGCGTCAAACACCATCACGGTCCTCTACGGTGAGTGAGAGACGCACACGGATGGACGGATGCGGTCACCACGTCCTTTTGACAGATCCCATCCCGCCTGAGATCACTATGTATTCGTCCGCTGCCCCCCGCACACGAAACAGGGCCTTCAACATCGACATGGTCTTGTCAGAGCCAGTGCAGCCCTTTACAGAGGAAGTCTTCAGCCTCTCCAACGCCAGGATAGTGTCGATGAGCGACAATCCCTCCCAGGACAATGCCAAGATCCTGCAAGTGAAGGCCATCAGCGAGGGCATGGTGGAGGTCACGGTGCCGGTAGGCAGCATCACCGACATGGCCGGCAACAAGAACCACAGAATAGCGGCGTTTGAGATCCCATACGGTGGGGGAAGACCTGCAGGCAGGACAGACGAAAAAGGGAGCAGCATCTTGCGTGTGTCGTGTGTCTCTTGGTTGCTTGTGTTTGCAGACATCACGGCTCCCTCTGTAATGCTTGACTCGTCGACCATTGTGGTGACTGAGGAGACCATCACCGTCACCGTGACAGTGAGCGAGACGTCCGAGATCTTCTGCCAGCCGCTCACACCCAGCGACACAGCCACACATACTCCACAGGACTTCGATCTCGTCAACGAACCGCCCACCACCAGTGTCTCGCCAATGCAGCAGAGGGCCGCCGTGTCAGAGTTTGACCACTTCACCGCCGAGTTTGTCTTTACCGGGCTTCTGTCGAACACGATGTACACGATCTCGTGTATTGCGATTGACGAGGGCGGAACAGTCACAGACCAAGCTAGCAGGGAATGGGTTCAAACGACTGGTATCTGCAGGGAGACACCTGATGTGTTGGCCAGATGCATGTAAGCATCCATCGGGTCTGTCTCTATTTGTCGTGCAGAGATCATTCCGCCCCGCGTGCTGGTCCCCGACAATAATGACACGGTTGTGATCAGCCGCGACGGACATGTGCTCACTCTGCACTTCTCCGAGGCCGTGCGGGACATCAACACCGACAGAATATTGGTAAGGTCGGGACCGTGTGTGTGTGTTCCCACATCAATGCGAATGCATGTGTGCAGCTGTCGAATGCCCTCTTGGTCGAAGCCACTATTCGACAACAGCTGTATCTGGACCTAGTCCTCCAGGTCCCTTCACAGGGGCGGGTGACCGTCACACTCAACGAGGGGACCGTCAAGGACTCTTACGGCTCAGGCAATATCTTTTACTCGTACCACGGACTATTCTACGGTAAGTCACCATGAGAGAGGAAAAACACACGCGTGTTGTGGTGAGTGTGTCTCGCCTGTTCAGATTTGGACGAGTGTGCATCGGGCACCCACAACTGTGAAGGGACCTGCGAGAACACACTGGGTGGCTTCACATGTGGGTGTGCCAGCAACGCCCGACTTGACAAGGACTCCCAGACATGCATTGGTAACATACAGGACACCCCTTTGTGTCAATCGATGTGCCTCTCTGTCTTGTTGCACGCGATGTGCGCTGAGCAGTGCAAGCAACCGTCGAGTCAGTGGATGTCTCACGGAAGCCACACGTCGGATTCCAAGTAATTGGTCACACACACAGAGCACACTACACAGAGACATGTACGTATCTGTCGCTTGTTCTCCGCAGCTGTCAGTCACTCTGACGGGCAGCGGCCTCAGCCCAGGAGACGAGCTGATGCTGTTCCCTCTCGCGAGTGACTCGCCACAGGCGCACTCTTCCTCCTTGCTGCGGCTGATGGAGACCAACGTGGTCAACCAGTTCTACCTGCTGCCATGCATTGCCTCAGGCAATACCACGCTCTCGTGCGGCCCGTTCGGCTTCACCAACGAGCACGGCTATGTCGTCGCTCTATGCCATGAGGAATGGATCTCACTCTCCACCAGCGCCCCTCTCCTGGCAGCGACGCCCGATGCCACACTGGCTGGGCAGCTGTCGATCAATGGTGCAGAGGTGTCCTCATCTGCCGCATGCCAGAGCCTAAGTGTGTTGTTGACTGACCCTTCCGCCCTGATGCAAGAGATCGTGACTCCTGGGCCGCAGCCTCTCGTCAACCCATCAGGCTAGCGCCATCTCTCCAAACCAGAAGCACTAGAGCCGACCATAGGCATGTGTCTGTCTCGGTCGATCACACAGATCCCCTGTCGGTCACGGCCTTCACCCCAACGACACTCAACGAGGCTGAAGAGCAGGTCATACGCGTGAGTGTGGACGGCTTCGAGATGACCCACGACCAGCTCAAGATAGCGGGGTGCGGGTCATGTGCCACGTCCAAGGGTTTCCCGATGTACTGCACGCCCGCCGAGGCCGCCAACACCATCACGTGTTCGACCATAGTCCACCGAATAGCTCCTCTGCTGTGTCTATGCGAATGTGATGCGTCACTTACACTGGAGGGCGACTGCCTCGCGGGACACAACTTCTTCCCCGCGAAAAGGGCAGATGGAAACACATTCACATTCGCCATCAGCCAAAGTAAGGGACAGCTTACTGTGTCCTGGTACATTGCTGCTGTCATCGGTGTATGCGTGTTCTCAGAGAAGGGGTTCGTGTCTGCGGTCGAATACGTGGAGCAGAGACACCCCCCGCACACGGCCAGCTCCCTGCAGCTGACAGTCAGGGGCCACCACCTCGACCCTGACAGAGACAAGCTCATGCTCATCGGCACAAGCGTCGGACACCACGGGGAGTTCGAATGCGGGTCAGCCTTGCACAAGCTGCCCAGCAGCTCGCCCAGCTACCCGATCGAGTGCAATGGCGAGGGCAGCCATACAGAAGAGCTCTTCTGTGAGAGTGTGGAGTTGCCAGTGGCGGGCACCTTCAAGGCCTGTCTATGTGACGCGACGCACAAGGCATCGTGCTCAAACAGCACAGACTATTCCATCGAGCCAGCGGTCGGACCCTTCGTGCAAGTCCATCCTGGTAAGTGGTCGCGAGGAGGAGAAACCCAAACGCATCGCATGTGTTTCTTATGTGTGTGTCTCTTCCATGTCTCAGGATGGATGTGACAGCCGCTGCAAGCTCGAGAGTGTCAACATGACCTACCCCACGCCCCGACTGACCAGCGCAGAGACGTCTTATTCGCCTTCAACAGCCACGGTGTGCTTCGAGGCCATCCTCCCCGCCCCATTCGACCGCGAGCTGTGCTCATCCATCGAGAACATAGGAGTCTTCGGCAGCAAGCCCCTGTGTGTGTGGGCCACACCCGACAAGCGATGCATTCTCGCCATATCAAGACAAAACGCCACACTCAAGCCCCGCGACACGCCCATCAGGTCGGCACTAATCTCCATGGACATGACGACACTTGATGTGGGCGCGGCAATGGACACACTCGTGCCGACGTTGAGAGTGACGGCGCCTGACAGCGTGTCGCTATGCTCTGAGGCCAGTGGCGATCCCCCCCTGCACATCGACATCTACACTGGTGCGAGCGGTGGTCGGCAGGTCTTCTACATATTCGGTGTCGAAAGTGGCGGCTCTTTGCCTATCGAGATGGCAGACGCCCTCAGCCAGGCGTCCGGTAAGCGGAAGCCAAGCACAGCGTCCCGTATGCAGTGTGTATCCTTGTGTGTAGGCTGGCGGGACCCATTCACCACACTGGAGATTTCCAATGCCTTTTGCGGAAGATACATGAGGTGGAGAACAGCCTTGACGACAGCCTGCTGGTGATGACGATATCGGCAGCAAACTACCTCGGTGTCTCGGCGAGCACCAAAGTGTCCGTGGTGCTGATGAAGGACAAGTGCTGCCACGCCGATGCCGCGCCTTCCGTCAGGACAACACACAGCACAATGTCATTCTCGCCGACAGGCCAGATGGTGTTGCGGGCGTTTCCTGGCCAGTCGTCAAACCATGAGAATGCCAAAGTGACTTGGACAGCATACGCACGCACTGCGCAGTCGGTGATCGACTTGACGGCCAAAGACATGTCTCGGGACAAATTTGCGCTGCGAGTCGACACGAACGGTGTCTTCGGCAACCGCGACAACTACATCGGTCAGGTGTTTGACGTGTACGCCAACATATCTTCATCAAACTGCACCCGTCGGACCGCCTTTGAGATCAAGATGGACAGGTATCCCGCCCCCCATCTGCAGCTGCGCCTGCAGGCACGCCCATCGCCATCGAGCAGTGTCACGCTGGTGATGGACATCACCCACCCCAGCCAACACATCGGCGAGCCGCTGACTGTCGACTGGTTCTGCGTGTGGACGCCCCTCAGCCGCCCATTTGCAGTGTCGTCGATGCGGTCAACGCCCTTCCACTCAGCGCCTGACCTGCTGCTGCGGTCTCTGAAGCAGGACGCGCCGCTACACGACTGCATTGACCACATCAGCTTGCCGAGCGACGACATGGCCGCCTTCAGGAGGGACCTCATGTCTGTCAACGACACAGAGGCGTCCTTCTCCCTCGACACCGCGGGTATGCGGGAGGGTCTTTATGTTTTTGCCGTCGAGGCCAGTCAGCCGATGGGGGAGGGCGCTGTGGCCGGAGGGGCGGTGACGGTGCAGCAGCACGTGTCGCGGTCCGGCTTTGAACGTCTTTCCGGCAACTGGACCGGAGCATCGAGAGACCGGTGTCCCCCCACGCAGATGTGGTGCTCAACGGATCGGTGATATCTGTTCCGCTGCAAGTGAGGGGAGACATGGCACTGGCATGGAAACTCACCCCAGTGACAACCTACAAGCGTACACAAGTCGAGGCTTTCCCATCTGAAGGGCTGTTGATTGAGGCACAGCCTTCAACCATGTCATATGAGCAGGCGTCATCAGCGGCCGAGCACACCATTGTCACTGGCGTCATTCCTGCCGGCTACCTCTATCCCTCCTGAATCTATGAGGTGAAGCTGTCTCGTATTAACTTCATCAACCAGGTCGCCCAGCCTGAGACCATCGAGTGGAGCACCAGCATCCGAGCCGCCCTCTTCCCGCTGGCGGGCTCGTTGCATGTGGAGACATCAGATACCACGTCGTCAGCGCTGATCCATCAGTATGGGTGGGAGGTCGACCCCGCCGCAGCTGTCAGCGGTGCTTCCACATACAGCCTCTACCTTACCGACACCTACCCCATCACAGGGGACAGCAAGATACAGACCCTGTCCTTCAACCGCCTCGAGCCGTCTCTCCGCGTGCACCTCCAAGCAGGCGACTACCACATCATCTCCAAGCTCACTGACTCGCTCGGGTCGACTTGCTTTCTCGAGTGTGAAGAGACAGACGGACTCGACTGGCGGATAGTGGCCATGTGTGACCCACGCTGGGATGCCCATAACCCCTCTCTTTGCCCCTCTGCAGCGGTGACGTTGGCTGACCGCAATGTCACGCTGGAGGACATCGAAGAGTTGATAGACGAGATGAAAAAGACGGATGACTCGGCAGAAATCGCCTCGGCAGTGATCGCTTCGTGTGAGACGCTCATCAAGCATCCCTCGATTGTCATTTTCCAGAGAAATAGAGTTGCCACTCTCCTGGACGAGATGCTGGGGCTGTTGACAGGCATATCAAAGGACCCCCTCCCAGCCAACAGGGACGAAGATGAGATTTTGATTGGCGAGGCTGCCGAGAGGCTCGCCAATCTGGCGGGAGAAGCCCTAATGCACACAGCACGCATCCACTATCTGGCGAAACTGACGGAACTGATTGAGCCCACGACCCGGCAGAATGCGGCACTTCTGCTTAGGAACCTTCCCGCCTGCATGTCGGCACTCACGGGCGAGATCTTCCCCTCTGATCAGCGGTCTGGTGACTCCCTGGTTGACGACGCAACACGCGCTGTGGCAATGGACGCCATGTCTCTGATGGTGAGAGAGCCCAGTTTCGTTGTCTGTGCATTTATGGAGGTGCTCGCTGTGTGATTGCAGGACTCGGCCTACAGGAACATCACGACATACGCGTATGAGCACTCCATCCCTCTTTGGCACAGGACAGGGGAGTTCTCGCTCTACATGAGGCTAATCACCGACGTCGACGTCAGGAATGGCATCAATAGGGTGAGTACACAAACAAGGCAGGGAGGCGCACTGAGCCGCTGTGCCTGTCATGGATCTCTCTGTGCTGCCAGGGTCGTGTGCTGATCTCACCTCTCTCCATCCCAACTCTGACGACGGCATGTCTCGCCCTGCTACCTGCATGGAACTGTTCCCAAATCCCCCACAACATGCACGCCACCGTGGTCACCATTCCTGCGAACCCACTCTTGGTCAAAGACAACCCAGCCGACTTCGTGCTGAATGAGATTGTTATTGTCGACATTTTCATCGACGGTGTTCGGCTGCCCAGCGTCAACCTGACATCCGACGCGCCTGTGCTGATGTCTTTCCCTCTCTGGCCCTCTTCCATGGCCCTGAAGCCGTCAGATCTCGAGCACAGCAGAGCCTACTGTATGTACTTCGACGAGGTGTCGGACTCGTTTGTGGACGCTGGATGTGAGGTGACTGTGACGCCGCACGCCATCCAGTGTGCGTGCACACATCTGTCGTCCTTCGCTGCGGCGATAGAGCTGCTGGGGCGGCCGACCGAGGACAAAGCGGAGGAGGAGACACCACTGTTGGACACGACTGTGCTGCTCAATATGCTCCTGGCCGGTGAGTCGTAATCAAAGCTCACCAACTCACATTGTATGTGATGATGTCTTCCTCGGTGTGTGTCGGAAGGAAACGTGGGCTTCTGGTACGCCATCGCGGCGACGCTTCTGTTCAAGTTCCCTGTGCTCTCACTGTGGCTGCGGGTGAGCCGAGCCGAGATTCCAACCAGCAGAGCAGCCCATGTACATGTGGTGCCTCATCTGTGTGTGCAGGATCGGCTCGATTGGGTCCCCGTGGAAGACAGGCTTAAATTCTTCTTCAGGGACAGATGGGAGAGGAACAACTACGACGTTCCGATATGCATATGCATACCCTTCATGAGACTTCTGGTAACCATGGTGCATGTCGGAGCCACAACCAGTGAGACATCTCGTCTCGTGTCTCTCGCCAACAGGGCTGTGTGTCTCTCGGTCCGATCTACCTGAGCCGTCGTCGAGCAATTCTGTTCCCCTTGCTGCCTCTCTTCCTCCTCTGGAGTCTGCTCAAGTGGCTGGCCAGGGGATGCCGACACGCACAGCGCAAAGAGATCGCCCAGTCGCCCACACAGGCCATGGAGGGCCAGCAGCTTACCAAGGAGATGCCTGTCTTCGACTACCGCCATCCCAAACACATGGATCCTCTCGAGGACGACTACGAAAACGCCTCGTGGCAGTGGGATATGTGGGATGATGACATCTCTCCGGATAAGCGCGGCGACGATCGGCTGCTGCTGGCCCACCATGAGGCCGATGTGGCCTCGCTCATCGACCAGGACCTGACAATGACTGTGGCGCGGTCTGCGTCGATGAAACCGAGCATGCAGCGGTGGCAGACAGAGGAGACGGAAAGAATGCGTTCGATGTTGAGCTTCGACGACACCAGAAGCGCTCTCGAACCCATACAGGAAGACGGCGACCAGAAGACCGAGGGGGGTGTGACGCTGCACCGCTTCCCTCGGAGCAAGAAGAGCGTCTTCATGCACCGCTTCACCAACATGCAGAAGCAACTGGCCTCATCGCTCGCAGCCGTCCGTGCGTGCCGCGACAGAAAGGCGCGCGAGAAGCTTCGCGTGACCGACAGCCGAATGTCGTCTGCCGTCTCGCTGGAGGACAAAGACGGCGATCTCTCGGTGACGCCATTTCAGCTGATAGTCCTGAAAGAGATCGAGATGCAGAAGTATGGCAAGATCACGAATCGGCTGCAGCGGGTGCACGACGGCACGAGACGGCAAAGGTTCCTCATGACGAAGCAGCAGAAAGAGCAGGAGCGTCTCGAACAGCTCGACATGCTCCTCACACAGGCCCAGATCGACCTAGCCAAGACCGACTACCAGAGACGGGAGCAGAGCCAGACGGAGAATGCACAGGAGAAGGAGCACGTAAGGCTACAGAAGCTCATCGAGGAGGAGACATCCATCCCGCCCCCGGCGGCTGTGAGCGTAGAGGTGATTGAAGGCCTGGAGGAAGATCTGAAAGACGTCGACCTCCGGGCAATCGCTGCTCGCCACGTGCGTGAGTCGGACGCGAGTGAGATCCCGGTCGACTCACTGGCGGAGTTTCAGCGGTCGGAGGCCTTCTACATGTGGGTGTCGGCAAGTGGCCGCGACCTCTGCCTGCACCCCGCATCACACTTCAGAGAGAGAAAGGTCGGCCTTGCACACACAGATACATACATGACTACGTACACGAGAGACGCCGACGGTTGGATGTGTCTCTATCAGTGGCGTGGCTGGGTGGACTGGAGCGGGCCCCTGAAAGTGATCGACATCGACACCATCGACATGATCCTGCAGGAGCAGATCGGGGGCATCACTGAGGGCAACGAAGACAAAGACGAGGAGGCGGTGGGGCCGCCATCACGGAAGATGTCCGCACCGCCCGTTCTGGCCATCTACGGAAGAGACGAAGTCACCCAGAAGCGCACACTGCTGCTGAAGCTGAGACCCACCAACATGGAGCAGAACCTGGACTTCCTCGCTCAGCAGGCCCAGCCCACAGACACAGAGGACAACGCAGAGACAGACGCCGGAAGACGCAAGTCGTCCAAGATCCCCATCTGGCCGAAATTATATGACTTTTTCGACCTAGCCCCACCTCACGTCAAGAAGGACGAGCACGTGCAGACCGTTCCCAGCGGCATGACAGTGCTGGAACGCTTCCTGTACTCGGCCAAGACGGCGCGCAAGAGTGCGATGAAGGTGTGGAAGCAGCTGCTGGCCGAGAGTGGGGGGAATGAGAAGGAGAGGCCGCCAGAGCAGCAGACCAGCTGGTTCACTTATGAGGGGCCGATCCCGAGCTCAGCATGCTTCTGTAAGCGATCATGCCTACACGCTCCTGCACCGATATCCTTCCTGCTGCCTTCAGGTCTGGTCAACAACAAGCCAGCACACCTCTGGTGGACCCACGACGGGCTGGTGCGTGCTGAGACACTGCTGAGACGCACACACACACACACACACGCACACACCGCACGCACTCATAGGGACGGAAGCATGATGTTGCGTTTGCGCGCAGGTGTTGAACACCGAGAAGGTGGATGTCTCAGAGATGGTCCCTGGCGAAGAGCCGACGGCTGAGGAGGATGCAGGCAAGCGCCTTATCCACGGCCACTTCCTGGAAGATGTCGAGGACGTGCGCATCGAGAAGGGCGAGAGCAGCGGCCTGTCGTCGGTGTATCTCAAATTCAAAGACGGCGACGACGTGAAAGTGAGTCCAGCCCTGTTTCACCTCACACACTCTCTCACGCATCTGACACCCGTGTCTCTGTCTGTCAGATAACATTCCTGGATGGCCTCTCTGCCGATGGCTTCGCTCGTGTGGTTGGCCATCTGAAGAAGGCGATCGAGCAGGCTCTCACGGACGACAAGGACGTGCCCCGGCTGGCCACGATGGAGATGGATTCCACCAACACGGGAGACATCACACAGCGATCAGCCACATCCACCACAGACGGACCGCCGAGAAGCGACACATTCGTGGCGCAGACCATGCAGGTTGAAGAGTCAGGCGGACACGCTGAATGAACGCTCAGTAATGTCCCCATTGATATGGTCAGGCCAAGGCGATTGCGGGCCGGCTGAAGTACCAGCGGTGGCCCAACATGAGGATCTTCAGCCGTGTTGTGAGACGAGACCACCCACTGCTGAAAGTGTAAGCACCCTTGAGACACACAGAGTGAGGAAGGGAGACACGGACAATGCCGCTGCTGTCCCTTGCATTCCTCCATTGAAGGCTGGCATACAATCCCTTCATCACCCGTTCGCAGCGGTTCGCCGTGCTGGAGGCCTCCCTGATCGGCATCCTCCTGTATGCGTCCCTCTTCTTCCACCACAAGTGTGCCCTCGCAGCCCATGTCGACGACGTATTCTCCCCCCTAGCCCACCTGACCGACCTCTGCTCGTCCCCCTCCATTCCATACATGCCGGGGCTCCCGTCGGTGTTCGTCAGCCTGTGGGCCCTCGTGCTGTCACTCATTTTTCCGGTGGTTCTGTACGCGCTCTTCACCAAGTTTGTGATAGAGGACGACCTGCTGCCCGGTGAAAAGAAGTTCCAGATGCAGGCGTGGGACGCCATGGATATCGCGGGGTGGGTGACCTGGACGCTGTCCAACCTCGGGGCCGTCACCTGGCTGCTCATCTTTGTTATGGTCAGCATACATGCAGGAGACACACACAAAAACAGAGAGACACAATGGGACTGCATGGATGGATGAATGTTTGCAGGGCGAGAAGCCCACGTTGGTGGGCAAGTGGATCTGGGCGTCGTCACTCGGACTTTCATACAGGTCAGGCGGCCGCAAACACTCAGCAAAATGGCTCACCCGAGACACGAGTCTCACCCTTCTCGTGTGTGTCCGCCTTCAAATGCGCAGGCTGCTGATCATCCCGGGCCTGCAGATCCTCGGCGTGACGGCCATCCTGATCTTCACCAAATACACCCCCATGCTGGATCCCATCATCCTGCTCGTCCCCTCGCTAGTGGAGTTCCCATTCGCCATCAGACAAAGAAGGAGACGAAGAGGCAAGAACCAGTTGACCGAGACCACCCATGAAGGCGACCAGAGACAGCACGAGGAGGGCAAGGTCGGGGACAACCTGACCGACATGGATGAGGACTCGCCCAGGTCTCTCGTGGGTGACGAGCCTCGGCCCGCTGCGCGTCTGTCGCAGAGCGAGCTGCGGAGGCAGTCGCAGAACGCTTATGTGGAGATACGCAGCTCGCTGGCTGAGATATGAAAACGTACGTACTCGCCATGATCGAGTGGCCTCATGATGTAGGTGTGTGTGTGAGACAGAGAGACAGAGAGACAGAGAGAGAGAATCTGTAGCTGTTTGTTTGGAGCGAGAAGTAGATGAGTTCATCGATGGTGTGTGTGGAGTAGTCTGGTGCTCACGTCAGGGTAGATTCATCCGGGCGGCAACGTGTATGTGCCGTCTCATTCAGTAGGCAGCATTGCGTGCGTGTATGCGCATGCCTTACCTTAGCTCATGGTCGGCAGCTTCTTTGCACAAACACGTGCAAGGCCAGGCTTGCAATCAAACTCGCGAAAAAAGACCTATGCTTTCGTTCACGTCACGTATAAATATCATGTCTTCTCATGCAGCAGACGCATCGACCAACTCAAGGCTTCAGCATCCGCAGACATTCAACCGTTGCGTACCGTCCAGTCTCTGCGGCATCCATCCGGCGCGACAGATACGGGGGCAGAGAGCGCACCAAACACGCGTTTCAGGGTTTGGTCTTTAAAATGTGATTCACTCATATGTACATAGTTGTGTTGTGTTGTGGTGGATATGATTGCATGCAAGAAACGTGTTCGCACACACTCCCGCCCCCCCTCAAAAAGAGCTGCACGAAACTCGGCCCCAGACGACAATCCAGGCGTGGAGGCACACGCGTCTACTCATTCGGGAGAGACGCCTTGAGAGGCGGGAGGGAGAGGCGTCTTGATAGGCTTGTAAGCGAAGGGGCGGTTGTCGAAGTCTGAGGGTAAGAGAACACGACCGCACGACACACGTGTTTGTAGAGTCATGGACGTACGTACGTACCTTCGCTAAGGTATCGCGTCACTGGCTCCATCTGAAAGGGGTCTGGCGAATGAATGAATGAATGCATCAAATGAAAAGGCTGCATGCACACACGTGTATGCCATCTGTGTGCGCACACCTTTGCAGCACTTGGAAAGCGCGCTTAGCCCTTTTTGAAACACAGACAGACAGACAGACAGAGACACAGACACAGACACACAGACAGACAGACACAAACACACGCACACACACACACACACACGGAGAGAGAGAGAGAGAGAGAGAGAGAGAGGGAGGGGATGCACTTGCGCACACGCCATGACGAATCTGTGTGCAATGCGTGCATCGGCGTACGTACGTACATGTGAAGTAGACGAGCCATCTGACGCGCTGGAGTTCGTCTCGGTACCCCACGAGCGGCCTATACATCTTGCTGCCACTGCATTAATTTGCAATGGAATCCATTGCAAAACGACACACACTTTAGGTGCATAATGCGCCGATGACGCTTGCCTCTCGCATGCATCTTCGATCGCCACGTCGACATCCTGTAGCCGCGCGTCGATGTCGTCTTTCTTATTCCAACACCACTCAAGTAAGTCCTGCAAGGCCTCATCTTCGGTCTGCCAGATGGATGAGCACGCCAACACATGGACAGACAGACAGACAGACGGACACGCACACTCCGTGAGGGCTTTCAGGGCAGATTGAATGCACTTTACGAGGATGGGCCGCTTCGTGGCTTCGTTCTGGACACACGCCACACCGAACACGCCCGCAGAGAGAGATGATGGCAGTCAGGGGCAAGGAAGGCCAGACAGACCATCTGGCATGTGTGCAACCGACCTCGGTTGGTGTGCAGACGTCGATGAGCTTGGAGGAGGGCTCGAGCCTCTCTCAGCTTCTGATGCCGTCCCAGCACTGGACGCCCGGTAGTCGTGCAGGCCGCGCAGGCACAAACCCAAGCCTGAGAGAGGGAGAGGCTTGTGCGACCAGCGACGACGACAACACGAGAAGAAGCAGCGTCGGCGACATCTTTGAAGGGAGGAAGGCGAGCGCGAGCTGCTGGTGGTCTGACGATGCACTGCTAGCACCTACAATACAATCACACACACACATACACACACACACAGCTGTCTGCCGGCAATCACACACACACACACCTCTGTTAGTGTACCATTTGCGGCCGACGCAGCGGATGAAGATGGCTCGTCAGCTATAGAGGCACCACCTTCTTCAGAAGCAGCAGCCGACATCTGCACACCTGCAAACAGACACAGCGCGGACATCATATCAGTGAATGCACCGGTGGCGCCTCATCGATCTGTGAGCCTCCGAGTGGCTTTCTTCCGCTTGCCGTACCTCAGCTGGCTACTCCTCTGCCTTTGACAGAGGTGAATTCTCTATCAGAATTCTCACCAACGATGGCGTCTGCAACGGCTTGCTGCAGCGGCTTAACCACGATCTTAACCAGATCCACTGTGCTGTACCGAACCCACGCCCATGCTTGTTTTAGCTCGCAGTCATGCGAGCTTTGAACGAAAGAGCACTTTTGGCATCTATGAACCATCTGCTGCCTTCTGCTCGCCGAGCTACTCGCAACAAAGAGACGCGCCCAGTGCAAGCACCATCTATCCCCCGCAGCAGCCGCAGCTCATCCTCTTCTTCTGAGTCATCCAAGGGAGAGGCCTCGCCGCCCATCTTCCCAGCAGAAGACGAGCCGCCGGCGCCCTTGCTCCGTGTTGTCGATGACAACGATGACGGCGACTCGATGCCTGAGGACAGACACGTGAATGTGCAGCATCCACAGCATCCACATGTGCGTCCACGTCCCTCTCGGTCTCGTTCTCGTTCGTCGTCTTCCAGTGTCAGCAGCAACGAAAGTGATGATGTGGGAGATCCCGGCGGCGCACAAGAGCAGCAGCAGCGGGAGGAGGAGCTCCCCTCCTTGTTGCCGCACGACATGACGGCCATCACCAGCGACTCTGAGAGCAAGGAGCGGCGACCACCGGCAGCAGCAGTGAGGAAGAGGCGAAAGCGATGGGCCAGCCTGAGGGAGAAGGAGCGCATCAACGTCATGGGTGTGGAGGTCAGCCCCATCGACGATGAGTCTGACGGCGAGCAGAGAGGGTTGCTCGGCGGACACGCCAGCGACAAACGGCCGCCATCCTTTCGAAAGGACGACGGTGCTGATGGGGATGCGGACGACAGCAGCCAAGACGCGGAGGAGGACGATGAGAGATCTGCTGGTGACACAGATGAGGGAGAAGAGGACGACCACAAACCGTTGCACGAGGAGCGAGACGAGGAACACAACGAATACGATGATGACCGTCTCACCAACCCGTTTGCTGCCAGCGTCAGCGGCGATGGACGGCCCTCCCTGCTGCCGACCAACCCCTTCTTGCCTCCCCCCGCCCCCCCTGCAGAAGGAGGCTCATACTGGCTGCAATTCCATGAGCAGAGCGAACCACCACCCACAACAGCAGCAGCAGCAGCAGCAGTACCCGACCATGCCACCAACAGCAGCCCCCCACAGCCCCCTTCAGACAGAGAGAGCGACCGAGAAGCGCCGCCAATGGTCGTGAAGTACTCACCGCATTTGCGGCGTACGACTTTTCCCCCATTCCCTCCGCCGATTCCCCTCAACGGCCCGCCGCTCACGTCCCTCTTCTCCCCCCCGCCCCTGCAGCTGCCACGCCGCTCAGCGCCGCCCCTGCTGAACGTCTTGCCGTCGACCTACCACCATGATAGTGCGAGTCTGAGTGACGGCAAGTCGCCACTGAGTGACCTGGAGTACCCTCTTGACGGGTTTCCAAAGTCTTCTCCTGGCGACTGGAAGCCTGCGACTGGCGTGGAGGGAGGGGACATTGCTGCTGGCGTGTGTGGCGGTGGGGAAGTTTCCGCACTCAGAGACCTGACAGCCAGGCTCAAGGTCAGGCGAAGGGACAGCGAGGGATGGCTTGCCTGTCTGTCTGTGCCCATGTGTACAGACCACGTTGCCTGCGTCGCTGCATATCGAGGCGAAGGATTTAGTTTTCACCCGGAAGATCGGCGAGGGCACCTTCTCAGAGGTCTTCTATGGACAGTGGCGCAGTAAGACAACCTTGACAACGACAACGGCCAGCCTGCAAGCAACCAGCATTTCCCATGTTTGTGTGTTGTGGGTGTAGGTTTGGAGGTTGCGATCAAGCGTCTTAAGACGGACACGACGCTGATCAACGCCGACCTCCTGTCCTCATTCTTCAAGGTCGGTCACTCGCAGGGAGGGATGGACGGGGGGTTCCTCATGCTTGTGAATGGATGGATGGTTGGTTGCTTGGTTGGTTGTGCGTGTGTGTGCAGGAGGTCCGCATCTTAGCTGAGGTCCGGTCGCCCAACGTCGTCCTGCTGGTACACACTCCACTCAACACAACGGAACACAAATACATCCATCCCGATCATGCTTGTCATGCGTGTCTGTCTGTCTGTCTGTGTCAGCTGGGTTACGCGTGCGATTGGCACGACCCCGAGACGCACGAGCCGCGCCCCTTCCCCGAGCTGTATTTGGTGACCGAGTACATCACTGGCGGCAACCTGCACGCACTCATCCACCAGGGGAGGGGCCAGCCGTCACGCCCGCTGCCCGACAGGGAGGCCGTGAGGATCGCCATCGAGATCTGCAACGGCATGATCGTGCTCGCACACCACCGCATTGTGCATGGCGGTCAGTCAGGGAAAGACAGAGATGGGCCGATTGGTTGGCAGAAGAGACGTACGGGCGGTGAATGCATGTCCTTCAGATCTGAAGCCGATGAACATCCTCATCGAGCAGACGCCTTCTCTCCCTAGCACTGCTGCTGACAACGGCAACGTGACGACCACCACCAGCAGCAGCAGCATCAAGGCCAAGATCGTCGACTTCGGTCTGAGCCACACGCTCTCTCACTGCCACAGCACGTCGCCCAACCACCTGGCGACGGCCAAGGAGGGCGGTGCGGGTGCGTCGGTGTCGGTCGGCGGCACACTGGCGTATTTCCCTCCAGAGGGTTTCCACGGCGCCGGGCTGAGCGAGGCGAGTGACGTCTACGCGTTTGGCGTCAACATGTGGGAGATGGTCATGGGGTCAGTGACACACATAAATGCCACATACATACTGTACACAAAAACAGAGAGGGAGAGAAGAAGAGGATGGGTGCACTGTCGTCGTGTGTGTGGTGCAGGCAGCCTCCATGGTTAGGATTATCTCCCGAGGAGATTCCCTATCGTGTGGGCCAGCAGGGCGAGAGGCTGCCCGTCCCTCACACTTGGCGGCCATCCCTCCGGCGACTCGTCGCCCAGTGCTTCGCAAGCCCCGCCGATCGGCCGTCATTTCTCGCTATCAAGCAGTCGCTCATCGCAATTCTCCACGTGGGTGTGGATGGGATGGCATACACGTCTATGTTTGGTGGGGAAGGGGCATGTACGTATCCGTTCATGTGTGTGTATTGTGTGTGTGTGTCATGCAGGAGATTGAGAGTGAGGAGCACGAGAGTGAAGGTGGCGAAGCGGGCGGTCCTCAGGAGGGCCGATCAGAGGACAACTAAGCGATCGACAGACTGGGTTGATGGCGTCCTGTTTGTGCACATCATGATGATTCATGAACGAGTCATGGGAATGTTTGCATGGTTCATTGCCCGCATCTCTCCACAGGTGTACGTGTTGTTTATGTACCTTATACGGATGCGGCCAACAGTCTGATAGTCAGGCCGCGAGTCAGAGACGGACAGAAGCAATTGGACAGAAGCACGCCATTTTGCAGTCGTTCATTCCGTTTACAAACCAATCTGGCTCTTCGGCAGCAATAATCATGATATCGTGGCTTGTGCTGGTGGGCTGGTGTGGTTTGTGGGAGCGTGTGGCGGGTCTGGAGGATGCGTGCCGGAATCCTCTGTTCCAGCCGCATTGGTACGGCAAGAAGGACATCCAGACGTACAACGACATCCCGCAGATAGAGACCAACCTGCAGCTCTGCCCACAGTACAATGAACTCTCCTCCTGCTGCCACCAGGTACAGACACAGATCTATCATCTGCGCGCCCATCCATCCATCCGGTTGTGTGTAGACGCTGGAGAGTGAACAGCTCAAGTACTACCACTTCTGGCGGTCGATACTCGACTCCAAGATAAGACGACTCGCCAGCTACAAGGCGTCCGTTATGCAGGCAAGGCCGACACACAATACGATACAATCCATGGATGGATGGGGAGATGGAAAGATGGCCCTCGTCTGTTTCTTGTGCTGTTTTGTGTTGTCATGCTTGTGTCAGGTCAAGTCGTCTGCGCAGTACAGCGCCTCCTCGCCCGACCACCAGAAGCAGTTTGACGTGGCCGTCGAGCGCATCACTGACGTCCTCGACCCCGCCTTCTACGCGCCATGCTACAGCCGGGTGCTCGAGTACGCCGCAGGCATGATCTGCTTCGGGTGCAAGCCCGACTGGAAGAAATACGTGGCCTTCGTGCCGCTGGAAGATGACCCAAACGTGCAGGTGAATTGCATCTTCGTCTGCACTCACCCACATGAGTGCACCAATCAATCTGTGTGTGTATATGGTTCCCATTCCAAGGTGATTGGTCGGTTGAACATCGACGAGAGCTCGTGCTATCTCATGTGGGGTGCCTGCGAGGCCTTCGGTGACAAAGCCGCCCAAATGGTCGGTAAATGGGACGGTGGGTGGGGCGGTGGGACACAATGGACAATGCGCTGCTGTCGGTCTGTCTGTTTGTCTGTCTGTCTGTGTGTGTGTGTGTGTGTGTCAGCATCGGGCCATTTTGGACTCTTCCTTAGTCAAGCAGGCGACCAAATCAGAGGAGGACTTCAATATGTTCACAGAACTACAGGTAAAAGTACACGCACACACACACACACACACCCCTATACAATGCATCTCTCCTTGGCGCCTGTCCGTCTGTCTGGGTGTCATCCATCCATCAGTCTTTGTGTCAGTGGGCTCACGACACCATCGCCCTTCATCCCTTTGTGACGCCCAATGAGGCCGAGCGGGAGAATGCGGGTCCTATAGCTATCACGACGGCCCGGCAGCTAGAGGCCGACACTGGGGGCTCATCCAAAT